CTCTTTCGCTTTCACTTCGCCACTGAATGAACTACATCACGCGATCACAACGCCGTCATGTGATAGTGTCCTTCTCCGTCATGCCTGGTTCACGGGTAGCCACACAGAGCCTCATCGCCCACCTGCTCATCATTTGCGGGAGGCCACAGCCTGACCCCGCTGCCCCCCCCCCCCCCGTCTGTTTGATGTGCGGCACGGCTCTCCACTTCAGGGCCTCTGCAAGCTCGGTCTAAGGCCTAAAACACAAATAATGACACACACGCGCGCAGGGAGGGAGGCAGGCCGCCCCTCCTCCCTGGAGCTGACCTCCGTCCTCGGGTTCAGCTCGGGGGTCTCCTGCGCTCATTCACCCGCACGTGGCCTCGCGGAGCGGACGCTTTCTCCTGGGAACCAGGTGCACGGGAGCTTTCGCCCGCTGATTGGAGAGGGAAGGCGGCGCAGGGAGCAGATGTGTCGGATGTGTCGGGCGGAGAGCGATGCCGTCTCGAGTGGCGACTGAAGTAAAGTGCGGCGCCGTTAAAATAACATTCCATCTGGTTTGGACGGAAAACTTTGGCCAGCTCCTTCTTATTATTCTCATTCTATCCAACTTCTCCCCCCCTCCTGAAGTCTGAACCTCATCTTCTTTGGCCAACTGCTTGGAATTTCCTGAAATGAAATAGCACAAACACTTCCTGGGTATTTCATAACACCAAAGCGTTTTCATCGGCTGGTTGTGTGTGACCGAGCCGAGGCCCCCCGGTGGGATTGGCGGCCCCCCTCGGCTCACATGGTGAAAACACCCTCATTACTTTCGACCGGCTGCCGCCGGTGACCGGGAGTCGTGATTCCTACCGGTGCGTCGTGATCGCGGGCGTGATCGCGTTGACGGGTGTCATCGCTCGGCCCCCGTGTCTCTGCCTTTCATTAACGCCGACGCACACTCGTGCAGCGATTGCACCGGAAATGAAGTATGGATACCCATCATTATTCTAGTTATTAGGCAGCAGCAGCAGCAGCAGCAGCCGGGTGACACGGGGGAGAAGAGAGACTTCCTTTCACATTCAGACCGAGACGTCAGGACGCATCTGACCGGCCTAATTGTCCCTGAGCAACTTAAGAGTGGGAACCATCTCAGTTTCGCCATCGCTCCCCTGGACGATCCCCAAAGCGGTCTTGTATTTGCATGAATTGGTGTTTAATAACGACCTTTGAAGAAGCGATTAGTGATGCTTGGTTTGGCTTTATCTTTTATTAAGAGTTTAAGCTTGTGATTGAAGGTACGTCTAACTACGCTGTTCCCCGAGGTTGCAGTTTCTTTTTAAGGCATCGCATCAAAGAGATTCACCGGGTCAAGAGTTTAAAGTTGTTTACGTAGTTGCTGATATGATTAACGCATCTGTAGCTTAGGATGAACTATCTTGAGCGCTTCAATGCGGTGTTTTTTACTCACTGATGGGCTTAATTCTGCCGTAGCAGGTCTTAAACCGCGCTTACCCGCTGTCAGAGTGACGTCTTTTCTAGGTCATTTTGGACGTCCAATTTTGGTCCACTGGAGGGGTTGTTTTGTAACGCCAGGGGACGTCTTTTTTGGACGTCCACTGCACGTCTAATGTTCACGTCCGTGGGACCTCCATGTAAGGGCTATTTATGTGGTCGTTTTAGACGTCTTTTCAACGTCAAATTTAGACTAATTTTAGACGTTTTATACTACTTTTATAACTAAGAGGGTAGGGGACACGTTTTCTGTACCAGTTAATTTCCCTTTGTTTAGCTTAGCGGCTATACTTTTGTGTGCATCTCCAATTAACACCCAATGCTGAGACAATCAAGTGGGAGCGTTTGGACAATTATCTGTAACAGTATGCCACCTTCTGGAATGGGACCAGATCATTTTCCAAAAACTCCATTTGATTGTCTCATCAACAGATAAGAGAAGCATACAAAGGTGTAATAGATTCCATTTCAAACTAGCTGCTGAGCCAAAGCTAAAAGAAAATGAACTGGCACAGAAAACATCCACCCTCTGGAAACATGACTAAAGATACACACACACACACACAAATAAATCACTCATCTTTATTTATCAAAAACCAATGGCCCTGAATGGCATAGGAAGGGCACCAGACTTATCAAGCATAATACAGTTGAAGCAGAATTATAAATGAATAATACGACTTTAATTGAATTGATCTGAACTTTTAATTTAACTCTTTCAAAAATCGTGTATATATTGATATATATCTATAAATATATATCGATTTATATATAGGATATAGATATGTGACTATAGTCACAATACAATTCCATTTCTATTTTCATGTATGTGAGAAAGTTGTTTTCGAAAACAACAATCCTCCTATTTATCCCGTTGTCCATCCTGAGCCCCCTCATGATGTAATGAGTCCGACACCTCAGAGAGCGGCCCAGCTGTGGATTCTTTTGCTAACTCGAGAGGTCATCAGCGGAAGGTTCCGTGACCAACGAGCCGACAGCATCTCCTCCCGAGGACCAGGTAGGAGGACGCAGAGCCCCAGAGGCCGGTAAGGGGCACAGGAGTGGACAAACAAAACAACTTCAGGCACGGCGGGTTACGTTATAAACGCCATCTGGACCACGCGACGCGCCAGCGTGAAACTAATTGGTCAAAAAACGAGAAGCAGGCGAACAAAGGAGGACATTAGCAACGTGAAGCTCGCCACGATGTTTTCCCTCGCGCCACATCAGCTTTTCTTTTTTTTTTTTAAAGCCGCGTTCACCCTGATGGCTGATTAGGCGCTGCGCACTAATGGGACAGGTGGTCTATTTGCACTCAGGTGTGTGACCGGGATGCCGTTAGGAGACAAGAGCTGTCCGGGACGCGGCAACAAAGACTCTGACAACGTGCTCCCGTTCAGACGGGCCATCGATGGATTCCTTCGCACAGGTGTGACGGACAGTCGAGGTCATTATTCCACCATGATGCGGCGTTGCGCTCCGACGCGCACGCGCTCGGGTGCTTCTGGTGTTGAGTTGTTTTGACGCGTGATGTGCCAGACAGCCTTTTTATCGCCGGGTTGCGAAGGCCGCCGCGCTGCCGCTAACGACGGATAATCCACCGCTCTCAGTTTTAAACTTTCACAGGACTCTTTTCCAACAGTTGGCCAGCTTTTCCGAAAGATATATAACCTTTCGAAGGCTTTGAGACTTCACAGACTGTGAACACAGTAGAAGAAAAACATGGAAACAATGTACATACCAGGCTGTGGCCTCCAGGCTTCAGTTCCTGCAGTATTTAACGCATTACAAGATGGTCGTAACTCAAAACCAAGCCACATGGGCCAGGAGAGGAAAGGTACAACATCTTGCCTCTGCAAAGCATCTTCTATATTTGTACAGGGTGCAGTTCTGCTGTTTACCTACTGTTACCTTGACACACAGAGCTTTGTGTGAAGGCAATTTGACCGCTATCAGATCAACAATGCAATGATTTATGGCACAGAGGCAACGAAAATAAAGTGTATCAAAAGGGTCCCTGATTTGCTCCGATGGCCACATTCATACCGTCGGACCTTATCTGAATAGAATTCAAGGCTCTGGGAGAAGCAGAAAGGGATCTCTCAGGATGTGCGCTGTAACACTGCCCCCTCATGGTCTCTCCCCCCCCATGCGTCGCGTGTGCGCGTGTGTGAGTGTTTGTGTGTCCGTGATCCCAAACACTGGCGGGGTCAGAGGCATTTTTCTTGTCTCGCATCTGCAGGCAAACAGAAGACGTGAGGCCATTTTTTTTCCCCCCCGGGGGGGCTGCTGCTTCGCCCCCCTCTGAATGCCGTCGGCCTCCTAGTCACGTGGAGTCCACGCTTCCTCGTCCGCGTGAATGTGTGATGTTTGATTTTCTGCCGGCTTGAGAAAAGTAAAAGAAAAAAGAAAGAAAAAGCATCGATAGGGTTTCTCGTCCGCTGCGAGCGAATATTAATTCGAGCATATGGCGGCGAGAGTCATCCAGCGGCGATGTCGATTAATCAGACCTTTGAATGCGACTAGATTAACAAGACAGTGTTTTATGTCTCCTCCTCGGGCACCCTGGAGACCCTTGTTGTCTTGTGTTGCGTTCCTCCCGCCGCCGCTCCTCGGTTTATTTACCGCCACAATGTTTTTAGGGATTTAAAATTGAGGATCCCGAATTGTTGTCGACAACTTTTTTTCCCCCACAAGGAGTCATCGAATCCTCGTTAAATAATTCAGATAAACGGGATTACGGCCCCCGCGTGTGCACTTTATTCTTTTATCGGCGCTGAAATGAATCCGCCGCTTATGTTTTCATGCTGTTGCTGAAAACACAAAAAAGTGGACAATTACTGCACACAAAACCTCATTTTTCAACAGCAGCGTCGATCAACAACACTTAAGTGGAATATCTACGGGCTCTTTTTGAATAATCAATCGTTGCTCTCTGGTCTTAAGTGCTTTTCTTTTACACAAGGCCATTCCTGACAAAGCGCCTGTGCTTTATATCGGCAGATGCAGCCTTGAGCGCTGAGCCAACCGGGCAAACCACCTGAGCTCCACGGCTCCTACACAGTCCGTTATGTGCGTTTCATTGCACATATTCCGTGACAACAAAGAGCCACGAAGAGCGCATGAAGAAGGGGAGAGGGTCTTAATGCTTTGAGTGGTCCTCATGATGCTGTTGTTGTTGTTGTTGTTGCGCCTCTTTGTCTCCGTCTGCCTCGTTCTGGGTTCCATCGTCGCCTTTTGACTCAGTTAATTAACCTTGAAATTCAAGAAAAATAAAGAAAAAGCAGCGTTTTCTTAACGACCCCTCGTAAAATGATAATTTCCATTTCCAGCAGAATACATTAAAGAGTAAACCAAAACTAATACGGCCTGGATCCTGCTTTCATTCATGAAATAACCCAAAACAAAAGGGTCTATTGTTGTTGTGACGGTGATGGGGATGAGATACCGATGCTTGACGAAGCTCACGTCTCGCACCGGCTCTGCTTTGGTTCTGTTTTCGCGGGCCGCCGCCGCTTCGGTTCGTCCGTCGCCGACGTATCCGGACAAAGTCAGGGAGCTCCTCCAGCCAGTAGCTGAGAGGAAAACCCAGCCAAGAAATCCTGAGGAGTTCCAGATGAGAGCTCGGACAGCCAAGAGAACACACACACACACACAGAAATAAAAACAAAAAGAGGGGGAGAGCGGACGGATGGAGGGAGGTGGCAATGAACAAAAAAAAAAAAAATGCAAGAAATGAAGGAATTCTGCTCGGTATAAAACTCCCCAGTCGGAGCGTTTTCATCCAGCGTTGGGAAGCGGCTCTCCTGAGAGGACCGTGTGTGTCGATCTGTGTGTGTGTGTGGGTGGGTGTGTGGGGGGGGGGGTCAACATGACTCACTGGTGGGTTCTGCTCGCCATTGCTCACCTGTCCGTGTACCTGACAGCCAGTCAGCACCACAGCAAAGGTAGGTAGGACCTTCTGACTCCACGCATGCACAACATCTCCATCTTCATCCACGCTGCACAAAGACAACGATAATGGAAAGACAGACATTTAAAGGTGGTTAAATCCTGGTTTGCTCGTGTGTGTGTGTGTGTGTTCTGTGAAGGAATGTGTGATAACGGGAACATTGGAGGAGGACGCCAACGGATCGTTTTCCAAAGAAAAGCGAACCGGCCTTTCGCTGGATCCGCTCGCTGAGGAAATTCCTTTCTCAACAGTCAACGTCACTTAAAAAAACCTTAAGACGGGTCACTTTGGAGGGAACACCGACATGATTGTGTTAACGATTTGACGCACGATCAGCTCTGCCTCTTGAGTTTTCACCACGGGAACCCGCCGCATCTGCTCCACGTGCATAAATGTGCGTTACAGTTGAGATGGCGAAGGCCGAGGAAACTAGACGAAGAGATTTATCGCCTCTGACGGGAAGATTGTGTTTCGGCCATCTTCCTCTTTTTTTTTTGCCGCCGGAATTGACACGAGAGGGCGGAGCTAAAGACACCCAATTGATTGGCCCTTAAAACTGTGTAATAAACCGAAAGAAATACTTTCCAGTCGTTTGAGCGAACGGATTGTTGGAGAGAAAAATGTCCCCTTTCTCCATCTGACGCCGCCGAGCTCCACTGTATCCAGAGCTTTAACGGCACTACATTCAATATATCTGGTCGACCTGCTGGCCGGCACTTTAATGAAAAAAAGGCCCGCTCGTTTTATCACTGGGGCAGATGAATAGCGGGATCCTCCCTGGCGCACCTGCCTGACTTCGTCGCATCATCAGCCTCTCGGGGATTCGTCTCACCGTGGCGACGTCGAAAGGGGGGAAGTCTGTTTACATTGCAGATGTAAAAACAGTTTTAACGTGGAGGTGAATTTAAAAGCAGAAGATTGGCCTTTTCATTTCTTCCGGCCTCCTTTTCACCCCCTTTTGAAGCAAGCCGCGTCCATTTTGTTGTATCCCCCCCCTTTTCCACTATTTTCAGACAACCCTCCAGCCAGGAACGCCATTTAGCCTCGCCGATTAATGGACCTCGTCTCCTTGCACGGCGATTAGCGGCAGATTACAAGTCCTTCAGTAACGCCACCGGGGGAACGCCGGCCCATCAAAACACCGCTTGTTGCCAGAGGAGGGAGGGGAAGCACTAAGGAGTCAACTGGCTCGGAACCAGCAGCGGTGGGAGAGCTGAGATGTCGTAAAGGTGGGACGTCTACATTAGAAACTCCCCACCTCTTCCCGCTCCGGCCCGCCAGCGACCCTTAGCTCTCTTGGCGCGTCTGTTTCCTGTCTTCTCGTCAGCGCCCGGGTTCCCTGCCAGATCGCCCGCTGTGCGCTCCACCCTTCTTCTGTCTGCCGGCACTTCCTCCTTGTTATTCTTTGCCTGTATTTTTAGACTCCTTGCCAGGCTGCCTTGGCCTGTCTTTGCGCCGCTTCTCCGTCTCCCTGTTTCGGATCGGCGGCAAAGCAAACGTCACCTCCAGATTCCCCCCTGCCTGATTTTATTTTGCTGTTTGTTTTCCTTGCAGGGATGTTTTAATCGGACACGTGGCCTGTTTCTGTGCTCCGTGAGCGCTAACAGGCAATAACGTTTCATTGGAAACTGCTGTTTCCCTCCGCTGGAAGCATAAAACACCCCACTTTACTGCACGCCAAAGTACTGACGCGCACAGCAAACAACGGCGCAGAGCAGTAGACAACTTTTATGCAAATGACATATTAATCATTCTAAATGTAAATCAGCATCGGGGGGGGTTCTCCGATGTGTCGTTCCCCTGCAGCCCCTTGATCCCTCAACAACCTAAGCCTTGTTCTAATGAGCACGCTGCCCTTTGGGTGTTGTTCTGTTTGCATTGACAGTGTCCCACCGAAGCTGAAGTGTCTCTTCAAGTGTCTAATGACTGACGGCCGAGGCATTTCTCCTCCGCTGATGATCTCGCACCCGGGATTCACCCGAACAATCAGGGGTTTAAATCTTCCGATGCCTTCACGGCTGCGTGTCGGGGTGGGACGTCTCAGTTTTCTCAGGGCTGTTGTTTGGTGTCTGGGTGGTTCAAAATGATTTTAGCAAGTCAGAACTTGTTTTAGCACTTAATATTTCAACATGTCATGATTAAACAAATTAATTAGTAAGCTTTACAGTTACTGGTTGAAGGTTTTTGTGACCGAGTCCACTGTTTCCGCTCGGAATGCTAAGCTAAGCTAACTGGCTGTGTTTCTAGGGAAGAGACATGAGTCATTTAACTGTTGGCAAATAATTCAATTTGATCGTCGATGCGGAGGAAAAAGTATTTAGAGGCTTCTTTTGTGTGAAAGGATGAAAAACGTTTGTGCTTTGAACTCTTAACTTTAAGTATTTCGTAACTCAGTGGCCTTTGGATAATACAAATGTGCCAAATTGTGTATTCTAACGGGGCTGCAGACTTTTTGGATGGATGGCGGCCGTCTCCCGAGCAGGAAGCAGGTACGCGGGGAGATCAGCACATTAGCCCCGCCTCCCGCGGCCCCCGGGCAGCCCGCAGAACTGTTCAATGGTGGATCGAATCCAATCTCCGGCCCAGTATCCCACTGTACACCTCGATACGTGTGCGTGAGTGTTGGCCGACGCGAAGCAGGAGGAAAAGGAGTGGAAGGATTCTGGAGAAGCTCAACGGCAGGTTTAACCAGAATCCGGCTTGAATTAACTTTGCTTTTCACTTCATCCTCCAGAAGCACTTTCATCAAATCGGTTTTAGAGGTTCACACTAAAGAGAGAATCATAATTTGAACATATTTCAGGCATCTGGGCAGCAGCAGCAGTCCTATTATTACCAATATGGAAGAGGAAAATGTGCGTGTGGATAATTCTACTACTGTGACCTCCTCTGCTTTCTTAGTCGAGCCTTATTGCGACTTGACCTCCAGAAGACTTTCCATTAGCGGTGAGAACATCTGCTCGCTATCAGACGGGGCTGCTGTGCCCGAGCGAGAACCCAAACACGGCGGCCGGGCTCCTTCATGAATCATTCCATGCAAACAGACAGGCCCTTTAGGTTTCAACAATAACTTAAGAGAAAACAACATAGAGAAAGAATATTACAGTTTAAAAGGTTCAAATAACTTTACAAAGAAAGTAAAGTGCCAGCAGATACCAAAGAAGGCTGATCAATAAGGTGTGAATAATGTGAACGAGTTCAGTTTAGTCACTTAACATAATTTAGTCCTAATGTCAGGTTGCATTTCACCCCTTATGTCGCTCTCAGGTCATTCAAGAGGGGAGCAAAGACAATTTTAAATGCCCTTTGCAAAGGCACCAGACTCCGTGGAAAGTAAACTGTAATTGGACTTAAATGAACTTGTTGTACTTGATTAAAAACAGCCTACTTGGCCGCCGTTCTTTTTGCACAGCTTCCTCTTGTTTATCTCCGTCAGTAAAATATGTATTTCATGGGATTTTTATCAGAGCGATTTGGCCGCAGCAGAAGGTTCTCATTCCAGCTCTCTCTGGACCGGACTATGGTTTCTCTGGTCTGCCTGTGAGCGAAACATCTCACCTCCGGATGCACTCGGGTCATTTGTAGCTCGCGTGGCGGACCGATTACTCTCTGCCCAGCTGGGGACGGGTCTATCTCACCTGCATAATGTTTTAGCAGTAATGTAGCTTGTGTTTTCTCAGCCTCGGGGCCCCCGGGCTGCAGCGTCGGATAAGGCGGTGGCCGATTTCTTCAACGCGCGGAAGATCCTCTAACCCCATTTCCTGTGCTTATGTGTTCCAGCGCTGTACCCGTCCGTGTATCGGGTAAAGCGCGGGGCGTATTGGCTGATCAACCCCACGTTCCAGTCATCCGAGGAGGACGTCAACCTACTTTTCGAGGTCAGTCCGGAGCCGGTTGAAGGTGTTTGAACAGCTCAGGGCTTCATTACTAGGAACCTCTTTTTAAATGTGTTGGACATTTGTCCGAGTCCCATTTCTTTGGGGCATCGTAGACATTCAGTTGGTTCCTGGTGTGAGTAGAGATTTCTCGAGCGTTGCTCCTGGATCGACTCTTTCCCAGATGCTGCTCGGCGGAATGCAGATCCAAGACGGGCAGCGCGACTTGCTGATCGCCGACGCGGAGCTGGCCTCCCTGAGGAGCGTGGACAAGCTGGAGGTCATCTGCGAGGACGTCCTGCCCAAGAGCCTCCCGGACATCCGGCGCCTGACGGCGGAGCTCGCCCGGCGCCGGCGACCCTTGAGCTGGCAGGACTTCGAGAGGACGGTGCTGACCCTGGTCTACGCCGCTCAGACCCTGGCTCGGGGCGGCGGCCAACAGCGGAGGGAGGCGTGGACGGACGCCGTCACGCAGCTGTTCGGGGCCCTTCAGAAGGACCTCGGAACCTCCTGAGGAGGATTGGGTTTTATACAAAAACACAGTGCTCAATTGTACGCTTTATTCAGCTTAACATTTTATTATATATCGATATATAAAACATCATCATTTTTGTTACAATGAGAATATCCGGCGTCGTTGAGACAAATATGAAAAATGTGTTTGTTCTTTAAGAAACGTAATCAGATTCGGTTCGTCTACCTACTTCCAGAACTTTATTTAGTAGAGATGAAGACAGGAAACCGCGGAGCGGGACAAGGACGCCTTGAGACAAAGGCGCCTGGGAGGCTCCGATTTAATCGCTTTGTCAATTGTTTTACTGCTCATTTGTGTTCAGTCCTCTACTGTTTGGAAGTGTAATGAATTGTGTTTAATCCACCCTACGTTATGTGGAAATGAAATAAAAGCTTTGTGTGTGTGAGCAAGCAGAAGGACGGCCATTTTGAATCAGGCTCAAGAACTTCCACAGCCTCGGCGTCAAAACAGCTGTTCGCCGTTAATGTCGATGAGAAATAAGTGACAGAAGTAGCTGGCGAATGTTTGTAACGGACCCGCGGACTTTTCCCCCGATCGCACTGACCTTTTGAGAGGCTTTTAAAATATGCTAAATCAAGCTGATTGCAGCACATCAGGCGCTGTCGCCTCGTCTGCTGCTCGGCTCATTTCACTCGCCGGTGAGTGAGTGTGTTTACATCAATACCCCTGATTGCTCTTTTTTAGCAAACTGAAAAGTGTTTGCTTCAAGGATCCCCATCGTTACGGGAAAGAGGTGCTTTTCCCGTAGCACGTGTTTGTGAACGTATGCATCTGTTTTCCCTCCTCGAGTCGATTGCTTTTACATTTGCTTACGTTTCGCTCGGGCCTGGAAAACGTTGGTCTCCCAACGCTCCCAACGATTTCCTGCCAGCAGAGGTGAACGTCCTCCGCCAGCGCTTCATTCCTGAGATTGTAGATGACGATCACGGGCTTATTTTTTTAAGATTTTTTTTTCTTATCAGCACTTCAGCATTCATCCCCCTGCCGGAGCCTCCGGCGCCGACTGGGGAGGGACTGATTGATGAGCAGTCGAAGACTCGCGGTGTGGAGTTTCAGGATCAGCCTCCGCTCCCCGCTGCGCACTAATGATGATGATGATGAGTTTTGGGGTGTTTTGAGGCGTAAAGAAGTCGAGATATTGAAAAAAAAAACACTTAAGCTCTCAGGATCGACCGATCGAGGTGTGGGGATCCACACCTCACAATTCCCACATTGTAATGCAGAATAGTTTCAACGCATACTGTTATTAAATTTTGTCATAAATACGCCTTAAAAGTTTCAAAATGACTCACAAACCGCAGTGCTTCTCTTCATTGCCACTTTCTCCTCCGTGATCGGGCCACAGATTTAATAATAAAATATGAGGCTTTCGTCCTGGTTATGAAATATGATTGTGGACTTTTTTTGTAGCCATTTAGTGCATCGTCCCTTGATGCCGTGCGTCACCCACAGCGGCACAAAGTATGCTGAGAGAGAGCAGCACCAAGTGGCCGCAAACCGAACTCCCGTCCTGCAGTTCTGCAAAATCAATCTGCTTAAATCAACGTGTTGCATCTAATTGGACTGACTTGGCTTACTGCTTGTGCATCCTCCCTTAAGATGATAGCACGTAATTATAATTTCTACTAAAGGACTTTGTCTCCTCTTCCCACAACTTCAGCCTTTCACAATCATCCGGTGCACAGAAACAATTAGAGCTGTATGACACTTTACTGAAAAGTATTACATGAGTCTTTTCTCAGACTATTAAACCTGCCTGTAACGTAATCTTTGGGTGAATATTCACACGAACGTGCCCACTAGGGGGAGGCATTTTCAAATGTTATGGCACGCATGGGCCTCACTCTTGTTATCAGCACAATTTGGTTATTTTCCATTGACTCGTGCAGATGTTGTCAGGACAAATGGATTCAACTGGACTTTAAGTAGATACGTGCTAACGCTCTCTGTACTAGTTTGTAGGGCCGCATGAAGCTGTAAGACCTCCTGAGCTCATGGCGGTACATTTTTGTTAAAGCAGAGACACAAATGAACTCTTACTCTGTTAGTTTCTTTCCTGTGTGTTTACGTGGGTGCGTTTGCGTTCGAGGCGGCTTAATTAGAGCTGAATCTTGTCCAAAACCGACATGCCATTTTTTTTTTTTCTTGGTAGAAATATCCTGTGATCCAGCTGAACGCCCAGTTGTTTTAACTCGAGCTTATCAGCTGCATGTGTTTCTCCCCCCGCAGCTGTCAGACATATTTTCAAGCTCTGCTGGCAGAGAGGGACCGACGAGGCGTCACAGTGTGTCGCACGCACACACACACACACACACACACACACGTCGCCATGCTGCACCGAATTAAAACAACTCAATCATGCCTGCCACTCGGAATGACTCGCGGTGTAATTTGACGAACATCTCCCCCAGATATCACGAGAAAACAATTCACGATCTGGAGCTCAGGCATCAAACGCTGCGGCAACACCATTAAAAACATTCCTCTGGCAAAAAACAGCCCACACATTGTTCTCCTTGCAGATCCGTTGACACGATACGTTCGTGTGGAAAATGTAGTTTCCTATGAGACGGATTACTGTCATTCAGAGAAGGATCTTGTGGTTGTGATTCTGTAACAGCTATATGAATGGAAAATGTGCTGCGTGAAATAGTAGCTGAGCTCAACTGCAGAGCACAAATTAAAAGCAGAAGATAAATCGCCGCTGTGGATTCCGACTTCACTGGATCTTCGTCGATATTGTACAATCCTCTCGTTGTAAATCGCACAAGCGTCCGTCCCAGTTGGGAGCCCCTTTTTTTCAGCTTTCCCACCAATCGTGTTTGTTGGGTGCGACTGGGTGTTTGATAAGGCGCTGTGGGAGAGCTTAGCTGGCCCTGAGATCGGAGATAACGCTGCATCCTCGGACTGCTATCGGACGTTGTTGTGAGGCGCGGCGGGAGTTGCTGCTCGTGTGTTTTTCAACACGGCTCCCCTGCGTGCCTGACTGGATTTGGCTCGGTGGAGTCCGGCTACAGGTGGAGCGGTCCCAGCGGGCCCCGTGAGGGATTGATGATGCAGCTGTGTGCGGGTGGTGCTGGTGGCCTGCGGCTATGAGGTCCAATCAATACTTCATTTTATTAAAGAAATAGTTCAACGATGTGCTCTCTACGTGCAGGTTAGCAGAACTGGAAACAGAGGGGACACTACCAGCAGCACGGAGGGCATGACAACACCGTGTACCTCATTTATTCAACCTGTAAAAAACAACAAGTTGGTGCTTTTTGGTGCTTTTGACCTAATAAAACCCTCCGGTCTGCCGGCGGGTCAGAGGTCAGGCTGCAGGGGTCGGGGTTAAGTGATGATCAACAATGTTTGGAAAAGCTATTAAAAGGTTTCACATCATATGTCATCATAATGCAGTCTGTGTGCGTTGCTTTTACCCACTTCTGTGAGGCATTGTGACGACTATAAAGCATTTACAATTACTACGCATTGTTGATTATCATTTAACTCTTATTCCGCTCAGGGTCAGGTGGGTTCACACTAAGCTAACCCTCTCCTGGGGATATCAATCGCCTTATTTAAGTCTCTGCAATGATGTTGATATGAATCTAAAAATACGGAAGTGTTCTTTTAGAATAGGTCAAATAAATGCATGTAATACACGTACATGCAGTACAAGTCCTCTCTTCTCTCCTATCAGTAAAACCAAGTCGGTGTCATTGCACCCACATGGAATGAAGCCATGACATCAGTAAATTCACTTTTCAACCTGTCACTGTTGCTAAGAGACGGCGGGCGTGACAAATGGCACTTTACAACTGGTGTTTTCCACACGGCGCTCTGCCTTGTCATTTAGCGGAGACATATAGGATTAACCGAGGCAATTTAAACGGATTTAAAGAAGACAACCAAAAGACGTGCTAGAAGTGTGAGCTGTCTTTTATAACGAGAGTCTGCTGATTCAATCAACGGCCCGTCGTCATGTTTAAATCCTCGGCCCGCTGATGAAACGTTTGTGACGGAGGGGTTCGGAGTGCGAAAGCCCAAATCACTGCGCACCCCAACCCCTCCAATCCTCAACTCAGCATCACATAGCGCCATCTCCTTTAATATTTCCTCTGATGAATCCCTGCATGTTACCTTCCTTTCAGACGCGTTTATTAAGGGTGCTTTGGATATCAAATTCTATATGAACTTTCATAGCACAGCAGAATTGCTCCCTAATGTAGCTCTGCGGAATTTTCAAAGTTACCCCGGCACGGATTTCCAAACCAAGCGTGGGCCGAAGATAGAACCTGGCGGGACTCCGGGGGACCGGATGAGTAAGCTAGAGACTCCCGGGGTGACATTCCACCGAGTAAACACGGTACAACATTTGATTCCTCCTTTAGGAAAGGAAAAGTTTGTGGACAGTCGGGCCTCGCTTCCGCTGAAGTCTGTGATCGACGGAAAGTGATTCAGCAGCAGCAGGTGGCCGTAAATCAAACCCTCGACTGCAGATTAATCTAACTCAAAGTGGCTGGTCCCTGTGGCCCGTCTCCCTGTTTAGAGAAGAATCCATCATGAAGTGACTCTGAGGCTCAGCAGCGTGCCGGCTTTGTTTTAAATCCGGCCATCTTGGTTTGGTTTTAATGGACGCCGTGTTTTAGCATAAACACGCTCAGGAAGCGGTGCGTCATGGCCGCTGGATTCTCAAAGAGCGACGGGGATCTGCGGTGTTTGTGTGTGTGTGTGAAGGGGGGGCGGGGGGCGACTCTCGCCCCCGGGCCCCATCCCTAGAGGCTGCCTCCCTGCTTCGTTGTGTGTTTGGTGTCAAACTGAGTGTGAAGAAGTCTACAGGGCCCCCGGGAGTCGTACAGCAACCCTTGACTCACACTTTGCTTACGCTCACTTGTCTCTACCTGATTTGTATATCATCTGTACACGCTCTCGAGGTACGATCGCGGCAGACGTCCTTGTCCTCGCGCTGACCTTCACGGCGCTGCGTGACCGCGTCCATTCCCCAGTAGACAAAGCTTTGTTTCCCTTCACCGAGAGCGTGTTTATGCGAAACGAATGATGGAAACACAAAGTCAACAATGATTCATTGCCCTCCAGTTACATTTTACAAGAGGATAAATGTGGGGAAACAGATGCGCGGACCGAATGTTTGTTTGTTTGTAACCTCGGATCTGAACTGTCACGGTGCGTGACCCGGGGGGAGAATCTACAGCTGGTGCTCGCCCAGCTAAGGAATGTGTATCTTGAGGGCACTCCTTTGAAAATACCAGAATATATGATCGCATTCCTGCAAATCCAGCCCACTTTACCCAGGAGGTCCGTGTCTGTGTCTGGTAGCGGCTCCATGGTTACCCAAAGTCAGAACACATGACGTACAGCTCTCACCGGCCATGAAGAGTTTGCATGTAAT